TATGTTCATAGTTCAATGGAAAAGGGAGAAACGGTGGGAATTAACTGTTTAGGGTTCATTTCCCAAATTTAAAATTGTAGATTAACTTTGTGGTGGGAGCCAAGTTAAGGAGGTTAGAGCGCTGAAAGGTTACACCTTCAACCAGCTTTTGATCAGAAACACTTACTGAACTCACCACCAAGAGTCTGTGAAACAACCTTAACTATTGATGATCATTTCCCTCGTACCTTTTATCTTAATTTTACAGATGACTGTTGGTTGAAAATGTTGAAAATGCCTGGAAACAGAAGTGCAGATTGCCAGCACAATGGCGACCGTAAGCCCCGGTTGATACTATAGCACACGAGTGTGAATCGCACAGGAACTGCACCGCATTCCTGTGTAATTCACATGCGATTCTATGCCACGTAGTTTGAGCCCATTCACTCTGAATAGCACAAAAAAGTACGCAGTACCTTTTTTTTTTTAAGCTGCATTGAAACCAGATCACATGGTTGTTTTGTACAATACGACCCAGTGCAGGCAAATGCACTGCATTTGCAACCTGCGTTTGGGGTGTTAACTTTGAATTGACACCCCCAGCAGATCACGAAACACAGTGCAATGTGATGTGGGAAATGCCCAGGGATTGTAGCACTTCCCACACTGCATATGTATGAACTTGGTTAAAGGTTAAATAGTAACTTTACCTAAAATGTGAGGTTCCACTCATCCTCCTCCTCCCCTCCTCCCACCTTTTTTCATCATTTCAATTTTTTTTTCTGGGAGTAGGTGCCTATTTTTGACAGGTAGCTGCTCCCACTTCCACTCTTCTCACCTAGGTGAGAAGAGCAGAAGTTGACCCCCCACCCACAGCCTCCTGGGACACATCACATGTCCCAGAAGGCTGTGGGACCAGTCTGAAAGCACAGCACATGCTGCACATGTGCAATTGGCAGCTGGCAATAGAACAGCAGGAAGTCACAACCAGTTTCCCACAAGCAAGATGGCAGCGCCAGAGACCCACAGACTGGCGAAGAAGCAGCCTGAATGATGGCAGCGCTGGACTCCACAGCTGGTAAGTGTCTGTTTATTAAACGTCATCAGCTACAGTATTTGTAGCTGCTGACCTTTCATTTTTTTATAAACTACAGTATTTCTTCTTTAAGGAAAGGTGATACTGAGGGATCATTGTTACTTATATCATTGGTGAAATTCACATTCACATGTGCTGAGCCACATTCACTGTGCCAAAAGATGACATTCCAAATGGCATGGTATCTTCTGGAAGGAGTTCAGATCTGCAGCTGGGTCTAGCCTGGCCTGTATAATCAGCGCTGGGTCATTGTCCCTAGTATCAGCTAGAAATTGGCTAGATATGTTAAAATGAGATTCAGAAATATTCAAGATTTGAGCATTGCCATTCAAAAATACATTTCACTGATAACCATTGATTTTCACAATTGAAGGCAATTTAGCCGTCATTCACACCTGAATTATTTGTAGCGCGTTTCAAGAAGTGCTTCCACGCTCTGCACCAGAGTTGTATGTTAATCTGTTGTGCTTGTTCACATTTCAATGATGTGCTGTCACCAGGGTGGATAAAAATCAATGATTTTTAAAAAAAAATAAAAAAAATCAGATTTTTTTTATTTAAATCGGATTTTTTTTAAATAAAATGCTTTTTGAGGAAAATATATTACCATCCAAAGGTTATTTCATCATGAAATAAAGATTAGTTTTTTAATTATGTAGAATAAGGCTGTATATGTTTTTAATTTTTTTGGTAAATAAATTCCATTAAGCCATTTCCAATGTCATGCTCTTCCAGAGGTTTTTGTAAGTTTATTGGGCAGTTTCTCTGCCTACAAGATATTATCACAGATGCTTGGTTTACTTTTGCAGTTCTCAAAACTGAATTTGACTCAGCGGAGATCACAGGCCTTTTCTTCACAGCAAAAATGTTATAACATGAACAGAGTTAAGAAAAAGACCTTAATCCTAACTTCTACAAACCTATGAATACAGAATCAACCCCTTCAGTGCTAAATTTCAAGAAGTTCAGTGAATAGAATAGAAACAATATTTTTCTGATTGTTTGGAATAGATCTGCACAAGAAGAAAGTGAAACTAAGTGTGAGGAGGAAGGGGCTGACAGTCTAAGTTTCTTAAAATATATATATTTTGTTTAGCCAAATTAGTTAACAAACATGGATGTTTGTTTAAGCAAATAACATATGCTGGAATGTTATTGTTTCAGTTGAATAAATCTATTTAAATTGTTATTAAGGTAATGATTATTTTTCTCCTTCCTAAATACAACAGAAAAGTTGTCCAAATATGAATGATTAATCTATTAAACTGGGGATAAAAAAACTAATATGAAAAGTTGTTATTCTAAAAATCTTCATCTACTTGCATATTAAAGTTATACCAGCAAGAATTAGTCTTGATGTAGAAAACTGATTAAATCAAGCCTTACTGACTAGTGATTTAAATCGTGATTTAAATCAGTTTGTTTTAAATCAAATCCAACCTGGCTGTCACTCAATGCTCAGACAAAATACAGGAGCTTCTTTGGAGCACGGCCGTGTGTATTTTGGCTACAATAGATTTCAATGGGAGCACCTTTAAAAGCAACTGAAAAATGCACCTTTTTTTTTTTTTAAACAGCCATGTTCTCCTAGTAATTCACATTCCTTTGGCTAAAACAAAAATGCTCAAGTCTGAAAGAAATTTGAAAAACATCTAGATATGTGTATGTTGTACTGTACACCTTTTTAATAGCAGGGCTCATACACATAAGCCCCTGCCACTGCGTATCCTACATTTGGCATTCCTTGGCTCGGTGCAAAAAACAACTAACAAGTGGTTTGAAGGCAGAATTCATGGATCTGTTCACTCAAGCAAATCATACACCCAGTGTGAACATCTCATTGATGTAGATTAGCCTAGCTTGCCTAATTTTGATGCAAAATTGAGTTTGAGGGAATACACATCTGCTTATCTCTAATACATAGCTTTCAATTGACTGTTCCTGCCTTTGAACCAAATCTCTCTCCCCCTCTTTTCTTCTTCGTTGTCCTTATTTTTGGTCTAATGTTTAGATCTTTGAAAAAATTAGAGTATTTTTATGTATGAATTCTTCCTAACCAGGCCTTTTTTTCTCAGAAAATAGGTGCAAGTACTCTCACCTTCTGAGTTACCCTGTGTTTCCTGCCCCTACCCACCTGCAAGCACCGTTCCTTGGTTCCACCCCCTACCCACCTCCATGTACTACCTCTTTTAGAGAATACAAACCAAATATCATTTTGAGATGCTAGGTAATTTTTATGGAACTTGTTAATGATAACAAGAAAGGCAGTAAATTGTATCCCCTGTAGCAAGCAACAATAGACCCCCCCCATCAACATTGTTTTCTCTCCAGCAATAATAGATCCCCCAGAAGCCAGCAGCAATGTGCCCCCCATCAACACAATGGACCCACCTCAGCAACAATAGACTCACAACATTCAGCATCAATAGACCCTCCAGCAGCCAACAACAACAGACTCCTCCTTCAACAGTAGATCCCTCCCAGCAATGATTGACCCCTAGCAATATAAGACTCACCCACAGGAAAAATAGACCCCCTCACTACAAAAATACATCTCCTCTAGCACCCTAGATCCCCAGCAACCAGCATTGATAGACTCTCCAGCACTCCCCAGCACCCCGTGTCATTACATACTGTACATTCAGTGCTGGAGGTGCTAGAACTGAATTCCCCTGCGTCCTCGCTGAAAAAAAGCCCTGTTCCTAACCCATTTAACTTGGAGCATTGCAGGGATTTTTGCTTTATCTGCATTCTTAATGCTAAGTGGTGTCCCTCTTTCTAGTATAAGAAAGTTGGGGAGGTATACTAATAGATGGGCCTCCTGGCCTTGGGCACCAAGGAGCATCAGAATCCTACTGTATGTCTAAAGCTAAAAATAGATGTAAACCCAAACTGGATGAATTTAGTTTGCCAAAGGATTGAATATCATAAGCAAATGCTATTCCATGTGGTTTTTATTTTCCTCCAGCTATTCCATGTTTTTGTTTTCTCCTAATATACTGGTTTTACCTTTTTAATTGTTTGTATCATCTCAGTGCTGCTGGTCTCATTCAGCCACCTTGCATGCAGTCCTGCTTCAGCTGATCATCATTCCTTTGGACAGGTGATAACAGTGGACCCTATCTGTACAACATATGTCAGCATCTCATACATTTGGCAGGTTGACTTCTCGGGACATAGTCGTCGCCCCATAACTGGAAGTAACACTCACTGCATTAAGTTAATAAAAGTTGCAAATTTTAAAAGATTACACAAGTTTTGAAATATCAACGCGTTAAAGGTCAAATGAGATGTAGGTAATTGGGTTTACATTGCTTCAAGTGCTCCTTATGCTATCTAAGTAACAGGAGCTTCAAAACCTAAGCATAGACAGGCAGGCCATTCACCGGCACACTTTTTACCAATTAGTGTTCCAAAATTTAAGCTGTAAAAAGAAACATTTTGTTTTTTTTTTTGCTAATCTATAAAACATCTTGTACACCAGGCTAATTGTAACTAGAACATTTTCTGTTTGTAGAAACATCCTCCTCGTAAGGACTTTGTGAGAGCGGTTTCTTTGCAGACTGGATATCTCATTAAAGCCAATGGGGAAAACAGCTGCGTACTCTATTACCTCACACAAGTCGACCCCAAAGGTAATTCCAGAACACTGTATATCAGCTTTCTATTCCATCTAATTATCTAAGTACTGTTAACAAAAATAATCATTGAAAAGGAATTGATCCACTGGGGTTGAGATTTGATCTGGATTGGACAGATTTGCAGGTCAGCAGGTATTTTTTCAGAGTAAAACCCAATCCGCTGCCTATACTTTAACTTTTTTTTTTTGACTAAAAGGATGTGTGGCCCTCCATTCCCCCTTCTGAAAGATCTCGCCACATGTGGGTGGGATGATATCCCCAAAACTACAGGGCAAAAAGCATTTGGTTATAATGGCCTTCACAATGGGTAGGTACTGCCAGAAGAGGCACATGAAACAATGGGGATGGGATTGTTCTACATCATCACAGCTGGTGGTGGGGAGTAAGGGAAAGGAGGCTTATATGCATGGCACAAGGTGAAATTTCTTTTGAGTGGAAATTTTTTCCTTTTCTGCTTTACATTATTGTGTGGAAATATTTTTACCTTTTTTACTTTATATTAGAAATTGGTTATTGTAGCATCGTTCTGCTCTGCCTGGTGTCTTTATAAACAATAATTCAAAAGGAAGCTTAGTGGTTATATTAAAATCAATGTATTCAATTTAACCACAAAGATTATGGCTGAATTAATTTGCAGAGTGAGATTTGGACTGTGATCTTCCAGGATCTCATGGTCCAGTTACTTCTACTAAAAATCACTACTCATTTAGAAGGAGTCTAGAAGTGCCACTGTAAAGAGTGTTACTGCTGCTTTTAATTTATTTTGTTTTATCCTTTTCATATTTTTTTCATAAAAGTGGCATACTGCTGTTTTTATTGAATTTTTATTGAGTTAATGACTGGAAGGGTCAATGTTTTTTCACTGTTTCTAATTACAAGTTTAAATATCCACAATTTTGTTTAATCTTTAATTTGTGCCGTGGTGAGTGGGTGAGCAATCCAGGATACCAATTAAGCATTTAGCAGCTTAATTGCACATAGGCTCCCAAAATTCCCACACTACCTCCTGGGACACAAGCGGTCAGCATTGGGCTGATGTTTAGAGCGGGGCTAGAAATACCATCTCAAAGCACATGCCTGATACCGAAGGGCACAAAGCTTGGAGTCAACTTAGTGAATATCTACATGCATATATCCCATTTGTAACAAAACGTGTAAAAAAAAAATCTTCATATGTTGAATTTTCATTGTTTCATAGGAATACTGTAAATACTGAGTATACTGCACTTAGGATTTTTTTTGACCATTAGATGGCACTCCATGCTTTGTGACAAATGTGTACCATGCTGGATCAATAAGTAAAATGTGCTGCTTCTATCATTTTTAACTGGATTTTGTTTTCGTTTTTTTCTTTCTTTTATTGCAGGGTCATTACCAAAGTGGGTAGTAAATAAAGTATCTCAGTTTGTGGCTCCAAAGGTAAGTGTAAAAATAAAGATTTCTTATGTGTTTGGTAATATATATGCCGACAATATTTACATTACTGGCAAATATAGAGCTCTCTGTTGAACCTGTTATTAAATAACAATTCCTTCATTCCCTGCTCAATATAATTTAGACTTGGTCCACCGTAGGAGTAACTCCAGTAAATAGCTGATTAAATTAGAGAGGAGGAGAAGATTACATGAACTAATAAAAGCATCCTGGTATTTTCAGGCACATAATGTATTTCTATAGTTTCAACTGATTTAAATTGTGTGTACACACACACTCACTCATATAGTGTTTTTTTGGAAGGGGTCTAACCCCTGTATGCGTGTGTATGTATATTTATGTGTGTATATTTACACTATATTGCCAAAAGTACTAGGATGCCTGCCTTTCCACACACATGAATGTTAATGGCATCCCAGTGTTAGTCCGTAGGGTTCAATATTGAGTTGGCCCACCTTTGCAGCGATAACTTCAACTCTTCTGGGAAGGCTGTCCACAAGGTTTAGGAGTGTGTCTATAGGAATGTTTGACCATTCTTCCAGAAGAGCATTTGTGAGGTCAGGCACTGATGTCGGACGAGAAGACTTGGCTCGCAGTCTCTGCTCGAATTCATCCCAAAGGTGTTCTATCTGGTTGAGGTCAGAAATCTGTGCAGGCCAGTCAAGTTCCTCCACCCCAAACTCATTCATGTCTTTATAGACCTTTGCGCACTGGTGCATGTTCCTGTTGGAACAAGAAGGGGGCAAACCCAAACTGTTCCACCAAAATTGTCCAAAATGTCTTGGTATGCTGACGCCTAAAGATTTCCCTTCACTGGAACTAAGGAGCCAAGCCTAACCCCTGAAAAACAACCCCACACCATATTCCCTCTCCACCAAACTTTACACTAGGCACAATGCAGTCAGGCAAGTACCGTGCTCCTGGCAACTGCCAAACCCAGACATGTCCATCGAATTGCCAGACGAAGAGGCATGATTGGTCACTCCAGAGAACATGTCTCCACTGCTCTAGAGTCCAGCGGCGGCGTGCTTTACACCACTACATCAGACAATTTGCATTGCATTTGGTGATTTAAGGCTTGGATGTAGCTGCTCGGCCATGTAAACCCATTCCATAAAGCTCTCTATGCACTTTTGTGCTAATCTGAAGGCCACACAAAGTTTGAAGGTCTTTAGCTATTAACTCTGCAGACAGTCGGCGACTTAAGCGCACTGTGCGCTTCAGCATGCGCTGATCCCGCTCTGTCATTTTACGTGGCCGAGTTGCTGTTGTTCCCAGTTGCTTCCACTTTGTTATAACACCACTAACAGTTGACAGTGGAATATTTAGTAGCAAGGAAATTTCACGGATGCACAGGTGGCAACCTATCACGGTACCCCGCCTGAATTCACTGAGCTTGTGAGAGCGACCCATTCTTTCACAAATGTTTGTAGAAGCAGTCTGCGTGCTTAGGTGCTTCATTCTTCACCTTTTGGCCATGGAGGTGATTGGTATACCTGAATCCAATGATTTGGAGGGGTGTCCCAATACTTTTGGCAATATAGTGTGTATGTGTGTGTATATATATATATGTGTGTGTGTGTATGTATGTATGTGTGTATGTGTGTATATATATATATATATATATATATATACACAGTTGCAAGAAAAAGTATGTGAACCCCTTGGGATTACGTGGAGTTTTGCATGAATTTGGCATAAAATGTGCTCTGAACGTCATCTAAGTCACAACAATAGAAGAACACAGTCTGCTGAACATAATACTACACAAACATTAGATGTTGCCATGGTTTAATTGCACATAACATGTAAACATTCACAGTGCAGGGAGGAAAAAGTATGTGAGGCCCTAGCTTAATGACTTCTCCCAGAGCTAATTGGAGCCAGGAGTGAGCCAACCTTGACTCCAATCAGTGTGATGATATTGGATGTGTTGCTGACAGCTGTCCTGCCCTTAAAAAACACACACCTGTTTTTTGGGTTTACTGGTTTCAAGAAGCACTGTGTGATGTGAACCATGCCTCGCAGAAAAGAGCTCTCAGAAGACCTACGATCAAGAATTGTTGACTTGCATGAAGCTGGAAAGGGTTACAAAAGTATCTCCAAAAGCCTTGATGTTCATGTGTCCACGGTAAGACAGACTGTCTACAAATGGAGAAAGTTTAGCACTGTTGCTACTCTCCCTAGGCGTGGTCGTCCTGTAAAAATGACTGCAAGAGCACAGCGCAGAATGCTGCATGAGGTAAAGAAGAATCCCAGAGTGTCAGCTAAAGACCTACAGAAATCTCTGGCACATGCTAACATTTTTGTTGACACATCTACAATAAGGAAAACATTAAACAAGAATGGAGTACATGGGAGGACACCACGGAGGAAGCCATTGCTGTCCAAAAATAATATTGCAGCACGTTTGAAGTTTGCAAAAGAGCACCTGGATGTTCCACAGCACTACTGGCAAAATATACTGTGGACAGATGAAACCAAGATTGAGTTGTTTGGGAAGAACACACAACACTATGTGTGGAGAAAAAAAGGCACAGCACACCAACATCAAAACCTCATCCCCACTGTAAAACATGGCGGAGGGAGCATCATGGTTTGGGGCTGCTTTGCTGCCTCAGGGCCTGGACGGATTGTTGTCATTGATGGGAAAATGAATTCCAGAGTTTATCAAGACATTTTGCAGGAAAACGTACGACCATCTGTCCGCCAACTAAAGCTCTGCAGAGGATGGGTGATGCAACAGGACAATGACCCAAAGCATACAAGTAATTCAACAAAACAATGGCTGCAACAGCACAGAATACGCCTCCTGGAGTGGCCCAGTCAGAGTCCTGACCTCAACCCGATTGAAATGCTGTGGCATGACCTTAAGAGAGCGATTCACACCAGACATCCCAAGAATATTGCTACACTGAAACAGTTTTGTGAAGAGGAGTGGTCCAAAATGACTCCAGATCGTTGTGCAGGTCTGATCTGCAACTACAGGAAACGTTTGGTTGAGGTTATTGCTGCCAAAGGAGGGTCAACCAGTTATTAAGTCCAAAGGTTCACATACTTTTTCCTCCCTGCACTGTGAATGTTTACATGTTATGTGCAATTAAACCATGGCAACATCTAATGTTTGTGTAGTATTATGTTCAGCAGACTGTGTTCTTCTATTGTTGTGACTTCGATGACGTTCAGAGTACATTTTATGCCCAATTCATGCAAAACTCCACGTAATCCCAAGGGGTTCACATACTTTTTCTTGCAACTGTATGTATATATATATATATATATATATATATATATATATATATATATATATACACATTTTGTTTAATATTTTTTTTCTTTATATATTCTGTAAGTTTATTTTGTACATTGTCACCTATGACATCTGTGTATTTGAAAAAATCGTCAGTATATTGACTGTCAGATGATGGTATACTGGAAATGTATGTACAGGGATCTGAATATTTCAGACAGTTTTAACGCATGCTGGAACAGCAGGTGAACTGCAAAATATTTGAGATCAGAGGTGGAAATTCACATTGCTGAGCATCATTTTTCACTATGCTAAAACACATTTCTATGACCACAGGAATGTATAGCAATGCATAAAAATGTATGTATTGTGCATTTTTAAAACAATAGTCTTCACCTTGACAGAAGCATTCACACTTCGCATGCCTAGGTGTGATTGAGCTCCTATAGTTTCCCTTTAAAAACACCATAAACTGCATTACATAGATGTGAACCAGCCACGCAGGAAATAATGGAATGTTTAAATAAAATGCATTACAATGTAACATTCCTGTTTATTACTGCAGGAAAAACAGACAAGTGTGAAGGCCTCAAAGATGAACTTCACCCTGACCTAATTGCCCCCCCCCCCTTACGTACTGCTATCTATAAAAACCCTGCACATGTGCAGATGTGCCGCGGGACTCTTCTAGGTATTTGAGACCTGCGGCATGTCTGCGCACGCACAAGGGATTCTGCTGAATGCAAACAGAGGTCGATAGTTTACAGTATGAGAGCATTGTAGTGACCCATGGCACTTGTGCCCACCCTAATAAGGATGACGTGTCTGCGTGCACACTGATTCTTGTGGTGTGAATGCACCCTCGATAAACCATTGCCATCTGGGATATGTGATGTGGCAATCCCAGGAGGCAATGGGAGCCTAGGCAAGAAAGCAGGAAGTGCTGCTCTGTAGTACAAAACATACTGTACTTTCTCAAAAATCATAAAAAAAGGAGGGGGAGAAACTAGAAAAGAAACTAGAAAAGAATGTTGATGAAAGGGTGAAGATCCGCTTTAATATTTATTTTAAAAATGTACGTGCAAGATCTGCTTTGTTTTGCTTTGCTACACTAATACATGCTTTTTGCTGCTCCTTTCCACAATGCAAGTTTTTAAATTCGTTCAATGATAACAATGCATTCCATATGAGGCTGAAATTTTATCTCAGCAGTTGTTAAGGAGGAATATTAGTGGTTGCACTGACCTAGGGAAATTTTTTCTACTATAATGCAAGAAGAAAAAAAATATTCTAACTCAAATTGTGTACCCACACAATATGTATAAAACACACTTTACAGTAGTGTATATACAGATATATCTTATATACACTACTTATATACATATACTCTGGATATGCAAAGGTTTAAAGAAGAAAGGAGTGAAGAGGGTAGAAACCATAGAATGAAAGAGTAGAGCTGTGGGAGGGACCCTGCAGGTCCACCTATTAAAGCTGTCTGCATAACTATAGGGTTGAATACAAGACCAGTCACCCCTGTACAAGGAGAGAGTGCAGCAGTGACCTGTCTTAATTACAGGAAGCTCCTACACAGAAGCAAAATACAAGAGTTGGATTTACTGTACATACGCTGGAACAAATACAAAGATTACATCAAGATTCAAGTAGAAATACACATGCCCACTTGTACTTAGATGTTGGTAGTTTCACCCTGGTTTAACCAGCAATTAAAATTCTTTCTAGCAAACACTCTATATTACATCTGTGGCTGCAGGTATTGTGGAGTAATTTGACCTCAAAGATCACAACTAAGACTCTATAGTTAGATTTTCTGTTGGTTTCTCTTAGTCTCACAGTGCCTGCAAGGTGTTTTCGAGGTCTTTACTGCATGTTATAATGTATTTTGGGTAGAGCAGGAAAGGGTTAAAACCCTTAGGTTATTACATATTTTTTTTTTTACAATGGTCTGCTAGGGAGATTTACCTTCAGTTAATAGTGCAACAGGATGTGAGATGACAAGCTATCAAAGTTAGGGGCATTCCCATCTTATACTTTTGTCATCCAAGCATTTGTCCCTACTAAAAGCTTTTTTCCCCTCCCTTCTTAGTCTTGTGACAACTTAAAATGTAGGATTTCCCCTTACTTTCTGTCTTGGTGGCAATTGTTAGTTTTGTAGCGAAGACTCACAAAGGAGCCTCTGGAAATAATTACATCCCCTACCTGTCCAGAGGCTACAGACACAGAAGCTCGGTTCCACCCCCCTCCTCTTTCATCACAGCATTTGATTGATAGCAATGGTAGCCAATGGCTGTCCAATGAGGAGGGAGACAGCGGCGAGATTCACTGCTTTCGTCTACATCACTGAATTGGATTGGATCGGGTTCAGGTAAAAGTAAGGGGGGAGGGCTGCGGGGATCTTGCAACACAGAAGGTTCTTCTACCTTTATGCATATAATGAAAAAAAACCTTAAGGCTTTGGAACCACTTTGAGGAGAACCTGCAGAAACCTGACAAATAGATGGCAGCCCAGCCATAGTACAGCAGTCATAGCACTTTAGGCTGCCCAGGGCAGAGGGTGCTACACTTAGACAAATAGGAGGGCGAATCTCTCCAGCAGTAACGCAAATCACAATAAAAACTTGGCATAGGGTCTAACCATTTCTTGCTCTATAAAAAAAATAAAAAGTTTGTGTTTACATACACTTTATCAACATGTTAGTGCTTTAGGCAGGTTCACTCATTTCCATGTCCTTTGCTTTGCATTTTATGTGTTTTTTCTGACTGAGCACTATTAAAATCAACAGTAAAGCTGAACACATGCATTGGCACAAGTAATAACGTACATGACAAATTGCAATGTTGTGAACAGGGACCTAAAGTACACTATATTCCCAAAAGTATTGGGACACCCCTCCAAGTCATTGGATTCAGATATTCCAGTCACCTCCATGTCCATGGGTGTATAAAATAAAGTACCTAGGCATGCAGACTGCTTCTGCAAACTTGTGAAAGAATGGATCGCTCTTGGGAGCTCTGTGAATTCAAGCGTGGTACCGTGATAGGTTGCCACCTGTGGAATAAGTCAATCCATGACCTTTCCTTGCTACTAAATATTCCACGGTCAACTGTTAGTGGTATTATAACAAAGTGGAAGCAACTGGGAACAACAGCAACTCGGCCAAGAAGTGGGAGGCCACATAAAATGACAGAGCGAGGTCAGCGCATTCTGAAGCACACAGTGCGCAGAAGTCGCCAACTGTCTGCAGAGTCAATAGCTAAAGACCTCGAAACTTTGCATGGCCTTCATATTAACACAACAGTGTGTAGAGAGCTTCATGGAATGGGTTTCCATGACTGAGCAGTTGTCCAAGCCTTACATCACCAAGTGCAAAGCATCAAGTGCAGTGGTGTAAGGCATGCCACAGTACAGTGCCATGTACAGTTTGGTTGAGGGGGATTATGGTGTGGGGTTGTTTTTCAGGGGTTGGCCTTGGCTTCTTAATTCCCATAAAGGAAACTCTTAAAGTGTTACTAAACCCACAACAGTAAAATCGGTCTGTATATGCAGTAAAGCATGCTTATTATACTCGCTGTGGGACCTAAGAGGTTAATCCTCTGCATTGTGTAAAAAGGATGTTTGATCCTGACTTCTCTGATCCTCCCCTTCTTCCAGTGGCCCCCTCTTTTCTCCTGATAAGACATGTGCGGAGTCACTCTGCACATGCTCAGTTTGGTGTGTATTGCTAGAGAGGGTTTTTTTTTTCTTTGGAGAGTGGTCAGGGTCCTGCATCCTCTTGGAGCAGAATGAAAACTTCTACAAGCTTTAACCAGTGCTCTGCTGGACACTGATAGTCAAAAGACTGCTATAACTGCCAATGAGAAAAGGTATTTAGCAGTCTACATTTACTAAAATAATTGCATTTCCATGTTCTGTATACTGTAGGAGACCAGATAAAATGAATGTAGGGTCCTGGGTTTAGTAATAGTTTAAGGTGTCCACATACCAAGCCATTTTGAGTAATTTCATGCTCCCAAACTTTGTGGGAACAGTTTGGGAATGGTTCATTCCTATTCCAACATGACTGCACCAGTGCACAAAGCAAGGTCCATAAAGACATGGATGAGTGTGTTTGGGCTGGAGGAACATGACTGGTCTGCACAGAGTCCTGACCTCAACCTGATAGAACACATTTGGAATGAATTAGAGCAGAGACTGAGTGCCAGGCTTTCTAGTCCAACATCAGTGCCTGACCTCACAAATGCGCTCCTGGAAGAATGGTCAAACATTCCCATAGACACACTCCTAAACCTTGTGGACAGCCTTTCCAGAAGAGTTGAAGCTGTTATAGCTGCAGAGGGTGGGCCAACTCAATATTGACCCCTACGTCCTAAGATGCCATTAAAGTTCATGTGCGTGTAAAGGAAGGCATCCCAAAACTTTTGGCAATATAGTGTATATCTAAAGCCAACATTTTTTTTTCTTTTTTTGGATAGAGTAGGAGTGGAAAAAATACTCTGCATTCCTGTTCTGGTGGCAACTGAAGTTGTTGATTGTGAAATTCGCCCTCCCTTTCATTCTCGGTGACATTGGTGATCAGGACAATTGTAGACTGTCAATCTCCCTAATGGGGACTAATGGGGATTTTACAACAGTAAAATCCTGATGGTAGTTCTAACTCTTCACCACTCTATCTAAAGAGTCTAAAAAAGGTTGCCTTTTAGTTATACAGTGCATAGTCTGGACGCATGTGCACTTTGATGCCTACTGAAAAACGCCCTCTATTATCTACAAGACCTAACAAAGTACCACCTAAGAAGACATTAAGACTTCATAGTAGAACTCTGTCCTTCTATGTTTGCTCATACTAATACATTTGTTTAAATCCTTTGCTCTACAGGCCATGAAAAAGATCTATAAAGCTGGCATAAAGTATCCTGAATGGAAGAGAAAACATGACCCACTTTATAAGCCATGGGTGTATCCAGAGCAGAACACCCTTCCGACCGTGAATTTGGAAGACTTGGCAATCCAGAGGGCTGATGAGCTGGAAAATATAGATGAAAGCGGAGTATCTGAAGAAAGAAGAACACATTAGTGATGATGAAGATGGCCTTTCAAAGGATTCTTAAATAGATGTTTTTATTCTTTCATATATTTTCTTCTGTCCAGCTACAAAATTTGATTCACAGCCAGTTTACTTAGTTAACCCTTTCACCCCATCCGATTCTACCATTTTTTCTGATTTTTTTTTTTTTTTTTAATACTTTTTACAACTCAGGAACAAGTTGTTGTGTATTTGAAAAAGTCCTGTTGAAGGGAAATCTTTAATGGACACCATCTACATACTAATTTTACTCTTATAAATTCCCTAATATTCTGTTTTTGTTTTTCAAAACTGACTACTCACACACATAGAAATAAATGTGGACAGGCTAGGAGCAAACATCTAAGAATAACTCCTGTAAGGGTTGTTACAGCAAGTTCCTGAAAACTTTTATGATCCTTATTTCCCTATGATCTGCTACATATTTATGTCCATATTTGTATCTGTCAGTTGTCAGTGCAGCTGCCCTCCTAACCACCATGGTATTGAACATCAGCTCTGGAAGGAAAGATGTCCCCAGGATCAAGGATAAAGAACAAATATACACATCAAAGTCAAAGCAGAGTCTGAAGTCCTTTTGTATACTCTTTGGGACAGTGAGTTAAAGTGAGCAGGACAGCCAGGCCATTTATCATTTGCAGTCTACAATGGCAGTCTCCCATTTTTCACTTGGGAAAGGTTTCATTTTAGAGTATGTAGATACTTTTAATGTCAACAGCCTGGCCCCGGAGTTCTACCCAATTTCCCTCTTGTAATGTATTTCTAAACTTGCAAAATTAAAAAAATATATATATATTTCAATTAGTTTTCTTTTTTTTTTTTTTTTTTAGCCTAGGCACATTTTCCTCAAGCACAGAAAATACTTGTTGATATTGCTAGAAATGCAGTATCCTTGACACTTCCTGTGAGCTGGTTAGAAAGCAAAACTATCTTACCTTTTGTCAACAACTTATCCCATCATTCCCTTTGTAATAGAGATAAACAAAGGCAGACCCGATTTAAAGTGAAATTACAGGTATGGACTCTTCTGTATAGTTGCGTTGATTCAGCTTGTTCCATACCTGTCCAATCCCTGTGGAATAGGATAATCACTGTAGTAGCTGCCACAACTACAGTGATCCTCCATGTATTCTGGGTCCTGAAAAGAGAAGATTGCCTGAAAAGAATACTAATGGAACCACCTCATTCAAGGGTTGGTAAGCTGTAATACAAAACATTTTGTCTTGGGATTCAGATACAATTTGAAAAGTTATATACCCTTGCCCTGTTATGCAGTTTATTTACCTTTAATGTTTGTATAATTTAGAAATTGAACCCCATTTTCATTGCTACATTATGCGAATGTTTATCAGCTCCCTGTTCAAAGATGGCAACATGTGAGGGACTCTATTCTTCGAGAACAAAAAAAAAAAACCATACATTTTTAACTCCAAACTGTGAATGTTCATTTGGTTCTATGGATAGCATCCAGAAAACAAAGTTTAATGACATTTTCTACAATGGATAATTAATGTTCTAACATTTTATAAGGGATTGCATATCCAATTATCATGTGTCTGTACTACAAAGAGGTTAAGTTAAAAGTCCCATACCTGAGAGGCCTGCGATTGATACACTTGTAAGACCTTTATAAAGGTAACACATTTTCTCTGTGTGTTAATATTATTCTTCCCATAATTTAGAACAGAACCACAATAGTTGAAGCACCTTGATAGTGGTCTGTGGGTTCCACATACTGTACATTTAACTGAGACTTCTGCCTTTATTCTGAGTTATTTATTCTATCTTTTTTTTTTTTTTTGTTAAACAAGCAAATCAGACCTTTATATTTATTTATGGATCTTTAATTTAGATGAAAAACATTTTAGTAAGTAAAAATTGTTTGATTGCAATTGACCTTTTTGTTTTGAAAATGGCAGTTTGGTCTGATATAATCTTTATCAAAAAGAAAGTGTGTGCTTATAAATTATATATATTTTCTTGAGCAATAAAATGAGTGAAGTCATTTTGTATTAGTTTGGTCTTTAAAGCTGAAGTTTAATCTTCTCATATTTTGACCTCCCTGGTTCCTTTCTTCCCTGCTTATCGACATGCGAATTTCATTTCTAACCCCTTCATGCCTAAGGGTAAAACAAATCTTAATACCTAAGCACAAATTTGCAACTTTGACATGTGTTGGCAAAACCGTACATATCATCACAACTACTTTGTGGATCCAGGTGGACTATACCTTGTTTTTTTCAGGACAAATTGGGCTTTCATTTGGTGGTAAATAGTAATGGATATCTCCTGATTTTTTTTATATTTCCAAGAAAACTGGCCCAAAATATTAGAAAAAAACCTTTTTTTAATGTAGCTATATATATCTCTTGCTACTACCATAACCTACCACCAAAGAACAACCCAAAATAATTTCTCCTGCTCCTGACAATCTCAATGATACCACGTGTCTATGTTGTTGTTTGTACCTGTAGTTCAGTCCAGAAACCATAATACGCAATATGCTTTTCTTTTTTATTCTGCCACTAACTGACACTGATACTAATTTAGAAATTAAAAAAAACAAAACCTGACCCCCCCCTAAAAAAACAGCCTGACCTTTGACCCCAACCCTACATTAACCCTGGCACAGACCTAGTTCAAACCTTGATCTAGGTATTTTTGTTTATTTTTATTTATTTTTTACACTTTTTTTTTTTTTCTCTCTGAAATGACAGATACAATGTATCTCTCTCCTCCATTCAGAGAGAGAAAACAAGGGTGGCGTGCCTCACAGTGACTGATCACTGTGACAGCCAATCAGAGGCTATCAAAGCAATCAGGTGACCCGGAATTGGGAGTTCCGGGTCCCGAGCATTAGAATAGGACCCGGGGCTCTCAGTGACACCCCAGTCTTTGTTATGGGAGCACACTGTGCAGTGCACTCCCAGCAGAAAGACAGGTACGCAAATTAGAGGCCCCAGGGAAAAAAGTTCTGTGAAGCCACTAATTTGCGTGTGGTCGGCATCAAGGGGTTAAATAAGAACTTTCAGTTTTTAGTACTTTGAATCTACCAACATCACTAGGTTCTTGTGCTTGCAGGCAGGTATTGGATTGCAGTTTTCCACTAACTTGTTGGTTCTTCAGGCTGGCAAGAAACCACTGGGCACTAATTTGTCCCCTATTATGAGCTCTTTGGAAAGGCTGGCATCTCCTATTGGATGCCAAAATATAGCAAGCAATTTTGACACCGCTTTGCTTACAAAACAGATTCTGCATCATTCAGTGCACTCACATTGTGGGAGCAGGTCAGAGATAGAACTCCGCTGGATAGGGAAAAAGGTTCCCCTTACAGGTTATCTCTTCTGTCAGCTTCTTAGAACTGTCTCTCACCATCAGCTGGATAAACATCAAGGGATGTCAGGGCAACCCAGTAATCATATACCTCCTCCAAGGGAAGCGCTCTACAGGAATTCTATGGTCTGTAAGCTCATACAATATTGCTATTGAAAAAGTGCCTTGACAGTCATTACTTTGCTGCTTGAAGAAGTGCGTTACCTGTAGACACGTTATTCAGGGATTCGGTTGAATCAGAATTTCAGAATAGTAACTAATTTAGACTAATCCAAAATAAAGGAACTAAATTTTGTCCAGATTTCAAATCAAATTTGAAATTGAATTCAAAAACAAAAATAGAATAAAACAGAATGGACTAGAAAAGAATAGAATAGAAAGGAATAGCATAGAAAAACATAGAATAGAAAAAAAAGAGTAGAATAAAATGGAATATAGCTGCCTTCCCAAATTTGAATTTCAAAAAGAATAGAATAAAAATATTTTAGAAAAGAATAGAGTAAAACAAAACAGAAAATAGAATAAAATAGAAATTAAAGGAATTAATAGAAAAAACCAGTAGAATAGATTAGAGCAAAATCGAATATAACCATCTTCTGAAATTCGAATTTCGAATATAATAAATTTGAATGCTGATTCAATCAATACTTTTTTCGATTTGAATATTCTTAAATTGAATTCAGTCTGTCCAAATTCAGAAAATCTGAATCAAACTCAAACGAATAAATGAAAAAAAAAATGAAAACAAATTGAAACTGAACAAAGTTATTTAAGGAATCGAAATGAAAAGAAACAAAGTTTATCGTTCTGCAAATGTCTAGTTACCTGCAACATATGTGGTACCACTTCTGTAAACTACGTTATTTCTGTGATCATTCAGATTTCTACATTTTACTCCTGTGACTGTGGGAGAGGCCAGCTCATTGTACACAGAAAACATAACACTCTCTCTCTGTACTCCTCTTATGTTCCTTCATCCCTTTTGCAAGAAATAAGCTGGATCCTGGAGTGAGTTTTGCAAATATCACAATGCCTTGATATCATCTTGGAGATCTGGGCATTCCTAGGCAGACTGCAGTTGCCTGCGCACTGCCCTAGGCAACACCCATGTGTGACATTGAGCCTCTATGATTGAAAGTACTAAAATCTAATGAATGAAAGAGGCAATCCAGGGATAGTAAGACTAGGGAGGAAAGGGCTAGCTGATGCTTAAAAATCTTTTAACGAAGAAACGAGGTGGGCTCTGTTGGACTTGCCACAGCTTCATATGCACACTGTCAGAAGATCATAATATATGGAGAAATAAGGGCAATTTCAGTACAGGAGAGGAGCTCATCTGTGCCAGACTGATGTTAAGCTTTAAATCATATCCTACCTACTCATCTGATGCTTTGGTACTTATACCTCCTTCAAGGTTATAACCACTGCTGCACCAGATTGCGTACATGTATATGATCTGCCATTCCTGGGTAGGGGGCGCAGACGCCGGCCGCCCCAGCTGTGTTATTTGGAACAGTACAAGTCGATCAAGAGGTCCAGTCCAATGATTTTTGGCCTGTACCTGTTGATCGGCTGTACCGAATCACAGAGCACCAGTGTCCATGTTTTGTAAACACAGATACAGAAATTGCACAGATCTTTTCTCTGAGACCTTTTCGGTTCAGAGAGAAGAGAGCAGACCTGTGTGAGCAG